TGATCCGGTCTCCAATTCCTCACGTTTTGTTTGTCTCCCTTCTTATACAGGAGAGTGATCACTCCCCAATTCATGTCTTCCGTAAGCAGCCCGCCTTGAAGAACTTGGTTGAAGACGGTGAGCAAAGTCGGCCCCACCTGCTCCCAAGTAGCTTCGTAGAACTTGATTGGTAGTCCGTCGTCACCTGGCGATTTTCCTTTCGCCATGCTGGCTACCACAGTCTTCAGTTCCTCCAATATGAACGGTCTGTCAAGGGCCTGTCTTTGGTGTACTGCCAGCTGCTTCGTAGTGTCTTGCCAGATGTCAACTTCTTCTTGGAGTTCTTCAAGCGATTTTTGGGGTGGTCTTCTTGATGTGAGGATGTCTGAGAAGTACTCCCTTGCGTAGATCGTCATCGAGTCCGTGTCTTCTGCGAGGTCTGCCATTGCGTTAAAGGGGTGCTGGTCCGCTCTGTGACCTTGTTGGGCACAGTCCCTGGAAGGTTTCTTTCGTCATGCGATCTGCTTTCTCCATTCCTCTCTCTGCAATTCAAATTATTCATTTCTTGTTTTAACAGAATACATTCTCTATAATCCATATCTAGATATATATGTATATATATCTAGATATATGTACATGTATATACAAAGCAATATCAATATATTCACTACATATTTATTTATATATATATTTATATATATTTATTTATATTCTATTTATTGTATTTTTTTGCCCAGGTTTCCTGTTGTTCCACTTGCAGTGTCTCCCACTTCCTCATCCACGTTCCCCTCCTCCTTTCCCAGTATAGGTCTGTGTATGGATCATTGCCTATATGGCTTTCTGCTTCCTCCACCAGAGAACCACCGGAATTGGTGACGAGTTCCTTTTTAGCAAGGCTGGGGCCGTGTACTGGTGGTTTAACGGATGTCCTGTTTCCTGAAGGACCTAGCTGATGGTTTCCACTGATACCTGGCTACATTTCCTTTTGATTCCCTATTGGGCCCAATCTCCCAGCTGAGGTTTGGTCCCTATTGGGCCCAATCTCCCTAAGCTAAGAGCACAAACCAGATGGACCAGGTCTAAAATGTTGCCACAGGTAAGACCAGAGCGGGACCAAACAGAGACAGGTGATGGGCTCGGTCCCACGTGGGAATTTTAAAAATGACGGCCGACTTCATGTTTCAAACTGTTGTCTTCTGGGACTGCACAGTAACTGTTCCAAAGGGAGACTTGAACACCGAAGAGGCGGGCGGACTGATGTACGACCGGACCTACCTTCTTCCCCCGAAGACAACGTACTATGGTTATGATAGCTGTATTTGGTGCATCTTTTCAGTGTAAATAAAAACTACAGTCCTCCCCCGAATACAACGTACGGTCATTATAGCTGAATTTGGTGTATCTTTCGGTCTAAATTCAGCTATAATGACCGTACGTTGTATTCGGGGGAAGACTGTAGAATGCCCGTACGGTGTATTCGGGGGAAGAAGGTAGCTTGGTGGGTACACCCATGGGTTGTTAAAATACAAACCTGCATTCGAATCCAGATGGAGCTACCTTCTTCCCCCTAATACAATGTACGGTCATTATAGCTGTATCTAGTCTGAAAGATGCCTCAAATACAGCTATAATGACCATACGTTGTATTGGGGGGGGAAAAAGGTAGATGAATGAAATTGAATGCCCGTAACTTACTTTGTGGCCGGTCAGGTTGATTATAAACATCATTCTCGGCGCAATTCCCATTTTTTATAATATAAAAAAAGAAAAGAGGCAGTCTGATGAGTCAGCGTCAGCCGCTATGATCTCCTTGATGCACCAGTCTGCAGTGAACATCCAGAAGGAGTCTGGTACCAAAAAAAGTCCCATTTGTTCCAGCTAAATCACCAGTAGGAGTCTGGTACCAAAAAAAGTCCCATTTGTTCCAGCTTAATCACCAGTAGGTTTCCCAACTTTCCCAGCCATTTTTTCAGAGTCGCGGGGTGCATGCAGCCGCGACACACTCTCGGGAAGTACCAGGGCGGCGTTTCACCGCATATCCATCCAGGCAAAATGGGTCCCATGCGAGGCCCATTTCGCCTGGATGGATGGATGGATGCATGGATATCCAGCGAAACGGTCCCCGGATACTTCCCGAAAGTTGCGCCGGCATGCAAGCCACATATTTGATTTCTTAACTGGGAAATGTACTGGTGGTTTAATTGAAAAACCCATTAAATTTTGTTCCAGGTGATTACAGCTTCAGAAAGTGAACAGTAATCTTCCAAGACTGACTTTGGGCCTCGCTCGTCTACACAACAGTCCACATGCATCTGGACGGTTCATCGTCCAGGTACACTTGGACGAGTCCCACACTTCGAATGCATCCGGTCTAGAAGGAGACCCAATGCATGTAGAGTGTTGTGTAGTGGTGCAAGCATGTTTTCGCAGGCTGGGCTATGGCAAGGTCATCAGCCATAGCTCCCACTTTCGATTTTTTTTTTTTTTTTTTTTTTTTTTTTAACTGGCTCAACATTGCTAGTGGAGTTGGTATGACCATCCACCACTAGCAGCTCAGCTACTGGCTCCGGTCTATTGGTGGGGAGCTGCAGCTGCTGGAAAAAAGGACGGACTTGAACCTCCGACCCTACACAACACTCTACATGCATTGGGTCTCCTTCTAGACCGGATGCATTCGAAGTGTGGGACTTGTCCAAGTGTAGCTGGTCGATGTACCATCCAGATGCATGTGCTATAGCCTCCTTCTGTCTGATCTTGTCTAACAGAACTTCCAATTGGATCAAATTCCAAAGTAGCAAAAAAAAAGAAGAAGAAAAAAACAATTCCGAAGTTGAGGCCCGCAACAGGGGCCAAGTCCCACTAGCAGCGTTGAGTTTCCTTGCCAAGTCCCACTAGCAGCGTTGAGTTTCCTCAAAGCCCGAATCTGGACCCGTTTGTGGAGGTGTGCAGAAAATCGTGTCGAGTTTCCTCAACCGCACATCTCCACAAACCCGTCCAGATTCGGGCTTTGAGGAAACTCAACACTTCTGCTGGGACTTGGCCACATATGGCAATTCCATCCTTCTCCCACAGATAGTTAGGTGCCTGCGATTTTGCGGCGGACCCCTGTGAGATCGGCATGCAAATTTTGCATCGTGCCCCCAGGCATCCAGAGCGCTTGCACCTGAGCTGGTATCTTGGTATTTAACCGCCCGCACGACCAGGGCATCGAACAAAGTCGACCTGGCAACAACAGGGGCATGGGGAAAATATTTCAGGTCAAGAAGATGAGATGAATCTTTCACAACAGTCAAACTGGCATCAGAAGGGCGCAGCTGCAATTTATCACAAGTTGTAGGGGCAACATGCAAATTAACTCAAATCATAGAGGAAAAAGCCGCAAAAGGCAAAATTAAAATTTTTATCTTAAAAAAAAAGAAAGCATCCATGATAGTCGGCGTTCGTCGCAAACTGCCCTCTTTTCGTATTTCATGTTCCCCAAATTGTCCCCTTTTCCTATCGATATTCTCCAAAGAGTCCCCTTTTCCTATTTATAGCCTCCTCCCCTCTCCGTATTTATACTCTCCCACCCGTTTGCCCCCTTTCTCCTATTCAAATTTCCCCATTTGCCCCAGTTTCCTGTTTCTTTGTGTCTTACTCTCTTGTAAAGAAACAAAAAAACAAAAAACAAAAACAAATCAATTATAAGCTGGGAACAGGGCCCAGCATCGAAAGCTGGGATGGCTCGGGAGGGTTAGGTAGGGCGATAGCTTCTTGGTTGGTTGGTTTGGATTTGGGCTGAGTGCTGGATGGCTTAAGACCGATCAAGCTGTTGGGGCTACCGTCTTCACCCGAATAGAACGCCCGGTCATTATCGCTGTATTTAGACTGGAAGTTGGCCCAAATACAGCTATAATGATCGGGCGTTCTATTCGGGTGATATTCGGGTGAAGACTGTAGTTCCCGAAGAACTTAAGCTGGGCATAGTCCCAGTGTCTGTCTGTGTCGTTCCGGGTTGTTTGTGAGGGATTCCCAGCCTCAATTGACTT